GGCAGGGCGGGGCGCTCCCTTTTGCTGAGCATCCCGGGAAATGTAGTCCGGAGCGGGGGGATTGGCAGGGCTCCCGGGCTCCCTGTCTTCTTGCTGTCCTCTCTCCCACCTCTTCGCTTTTGCCCTTCCTCTATAACTCAATACACCTGCCTGGCACCTTAGAAGAAAGTGCTGGACACGAAGCTCAGGGCGGGGGTCCCCCAGCCTGAGGTGTATCCACAGGATTATGGGAGGAGTGTATTTTTAGTTCCAACTGTGCGCCAGGCAATATGTATATTTTTTGTCTTATTTAATAGAACAAATCTTCGAAGTAGGTTTTATTCATCCTCGTTTTACAGACGAGGAAAGAGGCTCAGAGGAATTAAGTGTCTCATTCAAGATACATAGACAATCAATGGTAGCTAATACATCGTATCCAGAAATCTGTTTCTGAAGTCATTGCCTTGCCCACAAAATCAAGAGAAATGTCACTATTCAGGGTGAGGGATTGTCCTGTTCACCTTTGCATCCCTTGTGCCTAGCAGAGTGTCTGGTTTCTTGAATTATGAGTAATAATGATGCAAAATAACAACAATTAACCTAAGTAGCACTTATTACCAGACTCTCCTAACCTCTCCAGAGATAGGTTTCACCGATTTTTTGAAAGTCTACTTTATGCCACTTCGATTTATGAAAGATCTACATTAGTACCTGTTTTCACCAACTGAAAGAAATCTGAACATTTATGAAGAAAAGGCAAAAAGCCAGAATAGTAATCAGCGTTTATTAGCAACAATCTGTCATAGAGGCAGTACACACTGGTAATGTAACTACACTGTACACACATTATTTCTAATTTATATAGTCTGCATATGTATCATATTATTCCTTTTACGATGTTAGTATTATTTTATGTTTTATATGTTATTTGGTATGATTTGGTAAGTTATTTGTGGGGTCTGGGAACACTCAAAAACTTTTCCCATATAAATTAATGCTCATTGTTTTTTCACTTTATATCATTTCAGTTTACAAAAAGTTTCATAGGAATGCTCTATGTTTGGATGGTGGGGTGGGGCAGAGTCCTGTACATTAACTCATTTAATGGTCACAATTAATTTTTAAAGTCCTGCAAAAATCCTCAGGTTTACAGAAGAAGAAACTGAGTTACAAAGAAGCTGAGTAATTTGCTCAAAGTCATACAGTTAGTACTCAGCAGAGGTGGGGCATGAGCCCTAAAACCTTCATCCTTATGCAAATTGAACAGTTGGAAGAAAGCCCAGAGGCAAAAAGAGTGTGTGAGAAACAAAGGAAATCTAGAGTTTGAAGCTACTGATTTGTGACTCCTAGGATTGGACCAAAGAACTTCTTTTTCACCATCCTCTTTCTAACCATAGGGGACTGCAACGGCCAACAGCCAAAGGGAATGTGTGGTTTGTGGGTCTTCTCTAGGTTTTCAGCATCTCCTTTGGGGAGAATCTGTTATTGATTGGTTTCATCTAAGGAAAGCAAAATAAGGGTTATAATATTTATAACATTTTGCTGTTTGTGAGTAGCTCACATAAATTCTGTGGTTCCTTGCTAAGTGATAGATCAATTTCCTATGACGATGATTTTGTTTGTTCTCCTTTCTATTGATAGAATCCATACTCTCATAGTTCCAGGGACTTCACAATCCAGCCCCTTTAAATTCTTTTTTCCTGTCTTTTCCCCCATGACTCTTTTAGCCAGTTAGGCACATTTGTTGATAAAGACACATATATTATGGTTTTTTTCTCCTTTACTCATTACACTGTTCTCCATTGAGAATATCCTTCCTCCACTTTCCTGTTGCTACAGCCTTCAAGGATTGTCTAGTCAAATTACATTTCCAGGGATTCGTTCCATTCTTGGTACCATATATTTAAAAGGAAACACAAAGGTGTCATAGGATGTCTAGACGACAGCAGCTAAGAAGCTAAGGAAACTTGAACTCACATTGGACAAGGAGATGCTGAAGGATTTTGAGATAGTTAGCCAGAGGAGGAGACTTAGAGGAAATAAAAACTAGCTTTAAATAATTTGAAGTTTGTAAAATAGAAGAGGGATTCTATATCATAGTTAAAGAGGGTAAAAGCAGAACCAATGCTAATAATAGTATTTATTAGTTCCAATGTGTTATTATTAATTTTTATACTAAGTCTACAAGGAAGCCAGTATTATTGTACACATTTTCCAATGTAGAAATTGAGGATCGAAAAGGTGTCATCTCCTTCTCAAAGTATGAGAACTAATAACTAGCAGAGCCAAGATTCTAACTTGCGTTTGTCTCATTCCAGAACCCAGATCATCTTCACTACTGTGCTATACACAGCAATGCTTCACAGTCCTTTACATAGCAGAGTGTACATAAGAGGTGATCATATTTATTGAACTAGGATAAACACAAGAAGTTTCTCATGGTCATGGGCCTGGTGCTGTGGCTACTTCAGGCCAGGCAGCTCGGAGGGCCAAGGGAGTAAATAAACCAGCACATCTGTGACAAACCAGCGCACCTGAGGATGACCAATGCAGGAAAGCTCTGGAAGGCACTGTCAGATTTAATAAGGAGGCTAATTTGGGGCTGAGTATAGGGAAGAACATTTTTTCTAAGAATTTGAAATAGAATGTCCCATGCAAGTGAATTCTGTATTATTGGACAGGGAAAAAGAAAGAAGACCCATTTCTTATTGATGTTGTAGAAGGGATCGTCTACTTGGCACCAGGGCCCGGTGCTCCTATGAGAATCTAATGCCTGATGATCTAAGGTAGAGCTGAGGCGCTGATGCTAGCTCTGGGAGCGGCCGCAAATACAAATGAAGCTTCGCTGGCTTGCCTGCAGCTCACCTCCTGCTGTGCAGCCTGGTTCCTAACCTGTACTGGTCCACAGCCCCGGGGATTAGGGACCCCTGGTAGAGGATCTCTGTGGTTTCCAGTGCTGAAATGACTCTAAGTTAGTCTCTTTCATGAACCCTTTTTCCTCCAAACCAGCCACCAAAGATTTTTCCTCCAATGAACTTGGCTAGGACTTGTCAACACTGATATTTTTTACATTTGTCATCTACTACCTTGTGACATTACTTGTATATCTGGATAATGACTGCATATTGTTTAACCTCTCAATTAGGCGTCTAAATATCTAATGGCAATTGTAACCACTATAGGGTCAGTATCCATATATTTAATGTCTCATTACCTCCTGTAGATGGTACAGTGTTTCTTGAATAGCATGAGGAAAATGGCAAGACTGACTGAGGCTGGAGATGATTAACTATCCACATTATTCTCTCTCATTTCCTGTTTCTATATATAGTACACTCGACTGTCTACATATTCTTGAGCATTAAAAAATATCAACTCTGCCAACATATTACAATATCTCCTTCAAAATTCTGTGGAAAAAGAATAAATGTAAATGGATTGAGCTCCTGGAATGAAAAGCTTTCAAAAAATACCTCATGTTAGAATAACTTTACCTCTCCCTCTCCTATAAGTCTGTCTATGTATAAAACTGTCCTCAAATTCTGACCCAAGAAACTTTTCAAGAGCCTTTCTTGTTCAACATCCCCATATCGTATTATTCTTCCAATTGGCATTCTTGTAGCATAATACACTTCCTTTACACTTCATTCCATGTATATTTTATATGGCTTTCTATGTGGTCTCTCTTCCTAAATAAAATTAAGCTGCTGGAGAACCAATGTAGCCTTCCCAGGGGCATGAAATGGTAAAACACACGAGCAGTGGTGGTTCCTCATTACAAAACAACTGACGCCAGTAAAATGACGATATGACAGTCTAAGCAACGATTTTGATCTTCCATGATTTTAACGTCTCATATTTCCTGTTTACTTACACTCTGTGAACTATGGGAAGAACAATCATGATTACACAAAGTTAATCAGTGGAAAATAGATTCCGAGAAGTAAATTTATAGTGTGAATCAAGGGCAGTACAGCGACTTGCAAGGACTTTTGACCATCAGTCTCTTACAGGGATGACTGAGGATGCTTTCCAGTTTTCTGTCTTCAGCAATAATAATAATTGATTGTAAATAAATATCTTAGAGGAGTTAGAGTTATCAGGAGAAGCTAGATTGTAAGAAGGTAAGAAAGACATTCTTAAAATTGGCTGGATAGAAGCTCAGTCATTTAATTGTACAAGGAATATGACTTACTGTGTACTCTAAGCTGGCACTTCTAAACGATGGAAGAAAAGAATAAAAATGACCAAAATTTAGAGTAATGAAGGTCTCATTTACTAACAAAATTCTAGGAACAACAAAACGAGTCATGTTAAACATAAGAGTTTCCTTTAAATAAGAATACTTATAGTGGCCAGGCAGACATGTTATTTAAATAAGTAAAGTGGCTGAATACAGACGATAAGGATGAGGGGGGGACTGTAGCCAAACTGAGACAAGTGCTTTTCCTAAAAGGAGCAGTGTTCCCTAACTGCTATACCTGTTTTTTTCTTTTTCTTTTGTCTTGAATGAATTCAGATATCAATAAAAGTCACATATCCCAGTTTTTATTCAAAAATTCAATGTTTAAAATTTTAAATTAAATTTAAAACATTTTAATCTGGGTCAGAGAGAACAAAACTCGAGGAAACCTTTGCTTCCAGGTAATAGTGGAGTAGGTGATTTGGACTAAATATATATTTCTTGCTATGAATCAAAATATCACAGATGGGAAGAGGCAAAAAAGAAAAAGGATAGCTAAAAATTTTTCTGTGCAAAATGGATTTTCAGGTCTGCAAATTCTTGAGCTATATATATTTCAAGATTCAGGTAGGTTTTTTGGTTTGTTTGTATTTTGTTTGTTTGTGGGGTTTTTTGGTTTTTTTTTTTTTTTGGTTTTAGTTTGATTTTTTTCTTTTTGTAATTTAGAAAGCTAAAACTTCACATAAACAATATATGTTGTAAAATTACCGCTGGGATCTGGGGCAGCATCCTGTGGT